CCCCTTCTCCCAGATTCCATCCCCTTCTCCCAGATTCCATCCCCTTCTCCCAGATTCCATCCCTTCTCCCAGATTCCATCCCCTTCTCCCCAGATTCCATCCCTTCTCCCAGATTCCATCCCCTTCTCCCACATTCCATCCCCTTCTCCCAGATTCCATCCCCTTCTCCTAGATTCCATCCCTTCTCCCAGATTCCATCCCCTTCTCCCAGAGTTCATCCCCTTCTCCCAGATTCCATCCCCTTCTCCCAGATTCCATCCCTTCTCTGAGATTCCATCCCCTTCTCCCAGATTCCATCCCTTCTCCCTGATTCATCCCCTTCTCCCAGATTCCATCCCCTTCTCCAAATTCCATCCCTTCTCCCAGATTTCATCCCCTTCTCCCAGATTCTATACCCTTCTCCAGATTCCATCCCCTTCTCCCAGATTCCACCCCTTCTCCCAGATTCCATCCCCTTCTCCCAGATTCCATCCCCTTCTCCTAGATTCCATCCCCTTCTCCCAGATTCCATCCCCTTCTCCAGATTCCATCCCCTTCTCCCAGATTCCATCCCCTTCTCCCAGATTCCATCCCCTTCTCCCAGATTCCATCCCCTTCTCCCAGATTCCATCCCTTCTCCCAGATTCCATCCCTTCTCCCAGATTCCATCCCTTCTCGCAGATTCATCCCCTTCTCCTAGATTCCATCCCCTTCTCCCAGATTCCATCCCCTTCTCCCAGATTCCATCCCTTCTCCCAGATTCCATCCCCTTCTCCCAGATCCATCCCTTCCCCAGATTCCATCCCTTCTCCCAGATTCCATCCCCTTCTCCCAGATTCCATCCCCTTCTCCCAGATTCCATCCCTTCTCCCAGATTCCATCCCCTTCTCCCAGATTCCATCCCCTTCTCCCAGATTCCATCCCCTTCTCCAGATTCCATCCCCTTCTCCCTGATTCTATCCCTTCTCCCAGATTCCATCCCCTTCTCCCAGATTCCATCCCCTTCTCCTAGATTCCATCCCCTTCTCCCAGATTCACCACCCTTCTCCCAGATTCCATCCCCTTCTCCCAGATTCCATCCCCTTCTCCCTGATTCCATCCCCTTCTCCCAAATTCCATCCCCTTCTCCAAATTCCATCCCCTTCTCCCAAATTCCATCCCCTTCTCCCAGATTCCATCCCCTTCTCCCAGATTCCACCCCTTCTCCTAGATTCCATCCCTTCTTCCATCATTCCATCCCCTTCTCCCTGATTCCACCCCTTCTCCCAGATTCCATCCCCTTCTCCCAGATTCCATCCCCTTCTCCCAGATTCCATCCCCTTCTCGCAGATTCCATCCCCTTCTCCTAGATTCCATCCCCTTCTCCCAGATTCCATCCCCTTCTCCCAGATTCCATCCCCTTCTCCCAGATTCCATCCCCTTCTCCCTAGATTCCATCCCCTTCTCCCAATTCCATCCCCTTCTCCCAGATTCATCCCCTTCTCCCAGATTCCATCCCCTTCTCCCAGATCCATCCCCTTCTCCAGATTCCATCCCCTTCTCCAGATTCCATCCCTTCTCCCGATTTCATCCCCTTCTCCCAGATTCCATCCCTTCTCCCAAATTTCATCCCCTTCTCCCAGATTTCATCTCCCTTCTCCCATATTCTATACCCTTCTCCCAGATTCCATCCCCTTCTCCCAGATTCCATCCCCTTCTCCCAGATTCCATCCCCTTCTCCCAGATTCCATCCCTTCTCCTAGATTCCATCCCCTTCTCCCAGATTCCATCCCCTTCTCACAGATTCCATCCCCTTCTCCCAGATTCCATCCCCTTCTCCCAGATTCCATCCCCTTCTCCAGATTCCACCCCCTTCTCCTAGATTCCTCCCCTTCTCCCAGATTCCATCCCCTTCTCCCAGATTCCATCCCCTTCTCCCAGATTCCATCCCCTTCTCCCAGATTCCATCCCCTTCTCCCAGATTCCATCCCCATTCTCCCAGATTCCATCCCCTCTCCCCATTCCATCCCCTTCTCCCAGATTCCATCCCCTTCTCCCAGATTCCATCCCCTTCTCCCAGATTCCATCCCCTTCTCCCAGATTCCATCCCCTTCTCCCAGATTCCATCCCCTTCTCCCAGATTCCATCCCCTTCTCCCAGATTCCATCCCCTTCTCCCAGATTCCATCCCCTTCTCCCAGATTCCATCCCCTTCTCCCAGATTCCATCCCCTTCTCCGAGATTCCATCCCCTTCTCCCTGATTCTATCCCCTCTCCCAGATTCCATCCCTTCTCCCAGATTCCATCCCCCTTCTCCTAGATTCCATCCCCTTCTCCCAGATTCCACCCCCTTCTCCCAGATTCCATCCCCTTCTCCCAGATTCCATCCCCTTCTCCCTGATTCCATCCCCTTCTCCCAAATTCCATCCCCTTCTCCCAAATTCAATCCCCTTCTCCCAGATTCCATCCCCTTCTCCCAAATTCAATCCCCTTCTCCCAGATTCCTCCCTTCTCCCAGATTCCATCCCCTTCTCCCCGATTCCATCCCCTTCTCCCAGATTCCATCCCCTTCTCCCAGATTCCATCCCCTTCTCCCAGATTCCATCCCCTTCTCCCTGATTCTATCCCCTTCTCCCAGATTCCATCCCCTTCTCCCAGATTCCATCCCCTTCTCCTAGATTCCATCCCCTTCTCCCAGATTCCACCCCCTTCTCCCAGATTCCATCCCCTTCTCCCAGATTCCATCCCCTTCTCCCTGATTCCATCCCCTTCTCCCCAAATTCCATCCCCTTCTCCCAAATTCCATCCCCTTCTCCCAGATTCCATCCCCTTCTCCCAAATTCCATCCCCTTCTCCCAGATTCCATCCCCTTCTCCCCGATTCCATCCCCTTCTCCCAGATTCCATCCCCTTCTTCCAGATTCCATCCCCTTCTCCAGATCCCATCCCCTTCTCCCAGATTCCATCCCCTTCTCCCAGATTCCATCCCCTTCTCCCAGATTCCATCCCCTTCTCCCTGATTCCATACCCTTCTCCCAGATTCCATCCCCTTGTCCCAAATTCCATCCCCTTCTCCCAGATTCCATCCCCTTCTCCCAGATTCCATCCCCTTCTCCCAGATTCCATCCCCTTCTCCCAGATTCCATCCCCTTCTCCCAGATTCCATCCCCTTCTCCCAGATTCCATCCCCTTCTCCCTGATTCCATCCCCTTCTCCCAGATTCCATCCCCTTCTCCCAGATTCCATCCTCTTCTCCCAGATTCCATCCCCTTCTCCCATATTCCATCCCCTTCTCCCAGATTCCATCCCCTTCTCCCATATTCCATCTCCTTCTCCCTGATTTCATCCCCTTCTCCCAGATTCCATCCCCTTCTCCCAGATTCCATCCTCTTCTCCCAGATTCCATCCCCTTCTCCCATATTCCATCCCATTCTCCCAGATTCCATCCCCTTCTCCCAGATTCCATCCCCTTCTCCCACATTCCATATTTTCTCCCTGATTCCATACCCTTCTCCCAAATTCCATCCCCTTGTCCCAAATTCCATCCCCTTCTCCCAGATTCCATCCCCTTCTCCCTGATTCCATCCCCTTCTCCCAGATTCCATCCCCTTCTCCCAAATTCCATCCCCTTCTCCCAGATTCCATCCCCTTCTCCCCGATTCCATCCCCTTCTCCCAGATTCCATCCTCTTCTCCCAGATTCCATCCCCTTCTCCCAGATCCCATCCCCTTCTCCCAGATTCCATCCCCTTCTCCCAGATTCCATCCCCTTCTCCCAGATTCCATCCCCTTCTCCCTGATTCCATACCCTTCTCCCAAATTCCATCCCCTTGTCCCAAATTCCATCCCCTTCTCCCAGATTCCATCCCCTTCTCCCTGATTCCATCCCCTTCTCCCAGATTCCATCCCCTTCTCCCAAATTCCATCCCCTTCTCCCAGATTCCATCCCCTTCTCCCCGATTCCATCCCTTCTCCCAGATTCCATCCCCTTCTCCCAGATTCCATCCCCTTCTCCCAGATCCCATCCCCTTCTCCCAGATTCCATCCCCTTCTTCCAGATTCCATCCCCTTCTCCCAGATTCCATCCCCTTCTCCCTGATTCCATACCCTTCTCCCAGATTCCATCCCCTTGTCCCAAATTCCATCCCCTTCTCCCAGATTCCATCCCCTTCTCCCAGATTCCATCCCCTTCTCCCAGATTCCATCCCCTTCTCCCAGATTCCATCCCCTTCTCCCAAATTCCATCCCCTTCTCCCAGATTCCATCCCCTTCTCCCTGATTCCATCCCCTTCTCCCAGATTCCATCCCCTTCTCCCAGATTCCATCCTCTTCTCCCAGATTCCATCCCCTTCTCCCATATTCCATCCCCTTCTCCCAGATTCCATCCCCTTCTCCCATATTCCATCCCCTTCTCCCATATTCCATCCCCTTCTCCCTGATTCCATACCCTTCTCCCAAATTCCATCCCCTTGTCCCAAATTCCATCCCCTTCTCCCAGATTCCATCCCCTTCTCCCAGATTCCATCCCCTTCTCCCTGATTCCATCCCCTTCTCCCAGATTCCATCCCCTTCTCCCAGATTCCATCCTCTTCTCCCAGATTCCATCCCCTTCTCCCATATTCCATCCCATTCTCCCAGATTCCATCCCCTTCTCCCAGATTCCATCCCCTTCTCCCACATTCCATATTTTCTCCCTGATTCCTTACCCTTCTCCCAAATTCCATCCCCTTGTCCCAAATTCCATCCCCTTCTCCCCGATTCCATCCCCTTCTCCCTGATTCCATCCCCTTCTCCCAAATTCCATCCCCTTCTCCCAAATTTCATCCCCTTCTCCCAGTTTCCATCCCCTACTCCCAAATTCCATCCCATTCTCCCAGATTCCATCCCCTTCTCCCCGATTCCATCCCCTTCTACCAGATTCCATCCCCTTCTCCCAGATCCCATCCCCTTCTCCCTGATTCCATCCCCTTCTCCCAGATTCCATCCCCTTCTCCCAGATTCTATCCCTTCTCCCCGATTCCATCACCTTGTCCCTGATTCCATCCCCTTCTCCCAGATTCCATCCCCTTCTCCCAGATTCCATCCCCTTCTCCCAGATTCCATCCCCTTCTCCCAGATTCCATCCCCTTCTCCTTGATTCCATCCCCTTCTCCCAGATTCCATCCCCTTCTCCCAGATTCCATCCCCTTCTCCCAGATTCCATCCCCTTCTCCTAGATTCCATCCCCTTCTCCCAGATTCCATTCCCTTCTCCCAGATTCCATCTCCTTCTCCCAAATCCATCCCATTCTCCCAAATTCCATCCCCTTCTCTTTGATTCCATCCCCTTCTCCCCGATTCCATCCCCTTTTCTCTGACTGCATCCCCTTCTCCCAGATTCCATCCCCTTCTCCCAAATTTCATCCCCTTCTCCCAGATTCCATCCCCTTCTCCCTGATTCCATCCCTTTCTCCCAGATTCCATCCCCTTCTCCCAGATTCCATCCCCTTCTCCCAGATTCCATCCCCTTCTCCCAGATTCCATCCCCTTCTCCCAGATTCCATCCCCTTCTCCCACATTCCATATTTTCTCCCTGATTCCATACCCTTCTCCCAAATTCCATCCCCTTGTCCCAAATTCCATCCCCTTCTCCCCGATTCCATCCCCTTCTCCCTGATTCCATCCCCTTCTCCCAAATTCCATCCCCTTCTCCCAAATTTCATCCCCTTCTCCCAGTTTCCATCCCCTACTCCCAAATTCCATCCCATTCTCCCAGATTCCATCCCCTTCTCCCCGATTCCATCCCCTTCTACCAGATTCCATCCCCTTCTTCCAGATCCCATCCCCTTCTCCCTGATTCCATCCCCTTCTCCCAGATTCCATCCCCTTCTCCCAGATTCCATCCCCTTCTCCCTGATTCCATACCCTTTTCCCAGATTCCATCCCCTTGTCCCAAATTCCGTCCCCTTCTCCCAGATTCCATCCCCTTCTCCCAGATTCCATCCCCTTCTCCCAGATTCCATCCCCTTCTCCCAGATTCCATCCCCTTCTCCCAGATTCCATCCCCTTCTCCCAGATTCCATCCCCTTCTCCCAGATTCCATCCCCTTATCCCTGATTCCATCCCCTTCTCCCAGATTCCATCCCCTTCTCCCAGATTCCATCCCCTTCTCCCAGATTCCATCCCCTTCTCCCAGATTCCATCCCCTTCTCCCAGATTCCATCCCCTTCTCCCAGATTCCATCCCCTTCTCCAAGATTCCATCCCCTTCTCCCCGATTCCATCCCCTTCTCCCTCATTGCATCCCCTTCTCCTAGATTCCATCCCCTTCTCCTAAATTCCATCTCCTTCTCCCAGGTTCCATCCCCTTCTCCCTGATTCCATCCCTTTCTCCCAGATTCCATCCCCTTCTCCCTGATTCCATCCCCCTCTCCCAGATTCCATCCCCTTCTCTCAGATTCCATCCTCTTCTCCCAGATTCCATCCCCTTCTCCCAGTTTCCATCCCCTTCTCTAGATTCCATCCCCTTCTCCCAGATTCCATCCCCTTCTCCCACATTCCATCCCTTCTACCTGATTCCATACCCTTCTCCCAGATTCAATCCCCTTGTCCCAAATTCCATCCCCTTCTCCTATATTCCATCCCCTTCTCCCAGATTCCATCCCCTTCTCCCTGATTCCATCCCCTTCTCCCAGATTCCATCCCCTTCTCCCAGATTCCATCCCCTTCTCCCAGATTCTATCCCCTTCTCCCAGATTCCATCCCCTTCTCCCAGATTCCATCCCCTTCTCCCAGATTCCATCCCCTTCTCCAAAATTCCATCCCCTTCTCCCAGATTCCATCCCCTTCTCCGAGATTCCATCCCCTTCTCCCAGATTCTATCCCTTCTCCCCGATTCCATCACCTTGTCCCTGATTCCATCCCCTTCTCCCAGATTCCATCCCCTTCTCCCAGATTCCATCCCCTTCTCCCAGATTCCATCCCCTTCTCCCAGATTCCATCCCCTTCTCCTTGATTCCATCCCCTTCTCCCAGATTCCATCCCCTTCTCCCAGATTCCATCCCCTTCTCCCAGATTCCATCCCTTCTCCTAGATTCCATCCCCTTCTCCCAGATTCCATTCCCTTCTCCCAGATTCCATCTCCTTCTCCCAAATCCATCCCATTCTCGCAAATTCCATCCCCTTCTCTTTGATTCCATCCCCTTCTCCCCGATTCCATCCCCTTTTCTCTGACTGCATCCCCTTCTCCCAGATTCCATCCCCTTCTCCCAAATTTCATCCCCTTCTCCCAGATTCCATCCCCTTCTCCCTGATTCCATCCCTTTCTCCCAGATTCCATCCCCTTCTCCCAGATTCCATCCCCTTCTCCCAGATTCCATCCCCTTCTCCCAGATTCCATCCCCTTCTCCCAGATTCCATCCCCTTCTCCCAAATTCCATCCCCTTCTCCCAGATTCCATCCCCTTCTCCCAGATTCCATCCCCTTCTCCCTGATTCCATCCCCTTCTCCCTAATTCCATCCCCTTCTCCCTGATTCCATCCCTTTCTCCCAGATTCCATCCCCTTCTCCCAGATTCCATCCCCTTCTCCCAGATTCCATCCTTTTCTCCCAGATTCCATCCCCTTCTCCCTGATTCCATCCCCTTCTCCCAGATTCCATCCCCTTCTCCCAGATTTCATCCCCTTCTCCCAGATTCCATCCCCTTCTCCTAGATTCCATCCCCTTCTCCCAGATTCCATTCCCTTGTCCCAGATTCCATCTCCTTCTCCCAAATCCATCCCATTCTCCCAAATTCCATCCCCTTCTCTCTGACTGCATCCCCTTCTCCCAGATTCCATCCCCTTCTCCTAAATTCCATCCCCTTCTCCCAGATTCCATCCCCTTCTCCCTGATTCCATCCCTTTCTCCCAGATTCCATCCCCTTCTCCCATATTCCATCCCCTTCTCCCAGATTCCATCCCCTTCTCCCAGATTCCATCCCCTTCTCCCAGATTCCATCCCCTTCTCCCAAATTCCATCCCCTTCTCCCAGATTCCATCCCCTTCTCCGAGATTCCATCCCCTTCTCCCAGATTCTATCCCTTCTCCCCGATTCCATCACCTTGTCCCTGATTCCATCCCCTTCTCCCAGATTCCATCCCCTTCTCCCAGATTCCATCCCCTTCTCCCAGATTCCATCCCCTTCTCCCAGATTCCATCCCCTTCTCCCAGATTCCATCCCCTTCTCCCAGATTCCATCCCCTTCTCCCAGATTCCATCCCCTTCTCCCAGATTCCATCCCCTTCTCCCAAACTCTATCCCCTTCTCCCAGATTCCATCCCCTTCTCCCAGATTCCATCCCCTTCTCCCAGATTCCATCCCCTTCTCCCAAATTCCATCCCCTTCTCCCAGATTCCATCCCCTTCTCCCAGATTCCATCCCCTTCTCCCTGATTCCATCCCCTTCTCCCAGATTCCATCCCCTTCTCCCTGATTCCATCCCCTTCTCCCAGATTCCATCCCCTTCTCCCAGATTCCATCCCCTTCTCCCAGATTCCATCCTTTTCTCCCAGATTCCATCCCCTTCTCCCTGATTCCATCCCCTTCTCCCAGATTCCATCCCCTTCTCCCAGATTTCATCCCCTTCTCCCAGATTCCATCCCCTTCTCCTAGATTCCATCCCCTTCTCCCAGATTCCATTCCCTTGTCCCAGATTCCATCTCCTTCTCCCAAATCCATCCCATTCTCCCAAATTCCATCCCCTTCTCTCTGACTGCATCCCCTTCTCCCAGATTCCATCCCCTTCTCCTAAATTCCATCCCCTTCTCCCAGATTCCATCCCCTTCTCCCTGATTCCATCCCTTTCTCCCAGATTCCATCCCCTTCTCCCATATTCCATCCCCTTCTCCCAGATTCCATCCCCTTCTCCCAGATTCCATCCCCTTCTCCCAGATTCCATCCCCTTCTCCCAAATTCCATCCCCTTCTCCCAGATTCCATCCCCTTCTCCGAGATTCCATCCCCTTCTCCCAGATTCTATCCCTTCTCCCCGATTCCATCACCTTGTCCCTGATTCCATCCCCTTCTCCCAGATTCCATCCCCTTCTCCCAGATTCCATCCCCTTCTCCCAGATTCCATCCCCTTCTCCCAGATTCCATCCCCTTCTCCCAGATTCCATCCCCTTCTCCCAGATTCCATCCCCTTCTCCCAGATTCCATCCCCTTCTCCCAGATTCCATCCCCTTCTCCCAAACTCTATCCCCTTCTCTCAGATTCCATCCCCTTCTCCCAGATTCCATCCCCTTCTCCCAGATTCCATCCCCTTCTCCCAGATTCCATCCCCTTCTCCCAGATTCCATCCCCTTCTCCCAAACTCTATCCCCTTCTCCCAGATTCCATCCCCTTCTCCCAGATTCCATCCCCTTCTCCCATATTCCATCCCCTTCTCTCATATTTCATCCCCTTCTCCCTAATTCCATCCCCTTCTCCCTGATTCTATCCCCTTCTCCCAGATTCCATCCCCTTCTCCCAGATTCCATCCCCTTCTCCTAGATTCTATGCCCTTCTCCCAGATTCCACCCCCTTCTCCCAGATTCCACCCCCTTCTCCCAGATTCCATCCCCTTCTCCCTGATTCCATCCCCTTCTCCCGAATTCCATCCCCTTCTCCCAAATTTCATCCCCTTCTCCCTGTTTCCATCCCCTTCTCCCAAATTCCATCCCACTCTCCCAGATTCCATCCCCTTCTCCCCGATTCCATCCCCTTCTACCAGATTCCATTCCCTTCTCCCAGATTCCATCCCCTTCTCCCAGATTCTATTCCTTCTCCCCGATTCCATCACCTTCTCCCAGATTCCATCCCCTTCTCCCAGATTCCATCCCCTTCTCCCAGATTCCATCCCCTTCTCCCAGATTCCATCCCCTTCTCCCAGATTCCATCCCCTTATCCCTGATTCCATCCCCTTCTCCCAGATTCCATCCCCTTCTCCCAGATTCCATCCCCTTCTCCCAGATTCCATCCCCTTCTCCCAGATTCCATCCCCTTCTCCCAGATTCCATCCCCTTCTCCCAGATTCCATCCCCTTCTCCAAGATTCCATCCCCTTCTCCCCGATTCCATCCCCTTCTCCCTGATTGCATCCCCTTCTCCCAGATTCCATCCCCTTCTCCTAAATTCCATCTCCTTCTCCCAGGTTCCATCCCCTTCTCCCTGATTCCATCCCTTTCTCCCAGATTCCATCCCCTTCTCCCTGATTCCATCCCCTTCTCCCAGATTCCATCCCCTTCTCTCAAATTCCATCCTCTTCTCCCAGATTCCATCCCCTTCTCCCAGATTCCATCCCCTTCTCCAGATTCCATCCCCTTCTCCCAGATTCCATCCCCTTCTCCCACATTCCATCCCTTCTACCTGATTCCATACCCTTCTCTCTGATTCCATCCCCTTGTCCCAAATTCCATCCCCTTCTCCCATATTCCATCTCCTTCTCCCAGATTCCATCCCCTTCTCCCTGATTCCATCCCCTTCTCCCAGATTCCATCCCCTTCTCCCAGATTCCATCCCCTTCTCCCAGATTCCATCCCCTCCTCCCAGATTCCATCCCCTTCTCCCAGATTCCATCCCCTCCTCCCAGATTCCATCCCCTTCTCCCAGATTCCATCCCCTTCTCCCAGATTCCATCCCCTTATCCCTGATTCCATCCCCTTCTCCCAGATTCCATCCCCTTCTCCCAGATTCCATCCCCTTCTCCCAGATTCCATCCCCTTCTCCTAGATTCCATCCCCTTTTCCCAGATTCCATCCCCTTCTCCCAGATTCCATCCCCTTCTCCAAGATTCCATCCCCTTCTCCCCGATTCCATCCCCTTCTCCCTGATTGCATCCCCTTCTCCCAGATTCCATCCCCTTCTCCTAAATTCCATCTCCTTCTCCCAGGTTCCATCCCCTTCTCCCTGATTCCATCCCTTTCTCCCAGATTCCATCCCCTTCTCCCTGATTCCATCCCCTTCTCCCAGATTCCATCCCCTTCTCTCAGATTCCATCCTCTTCTCCCAGATTCCATCCCCTTCTCCCAGTTTCCATCCCCTTCTCCAGATTCCATCCCCTTCTCCCAGATTCCATCCCCTTCTCCCACATTCCATCCCTTCTACCTGATTCCATACCCTTCTCCCAGATTCCATCCCCTTGTCCCAAATTCCATCCCCTTCTCCCATATTCCATCCCCTTCTCCCAGATTCCATCCCCTTCTCCCTGATTCCATCCCCTTCTCCCAGATTCCATCCCCTTCTCCCAGATTCCATCCCCTTCTCCCAGATTCCATCCCCTTCTCCCAGATTCCATCCCCTTCTCCCAGATTCCATCCCCTTCTCCCAGATTCTATCCCCTTCTCCAAAATTCCATCCCCTTCTCCCAGATTCCATCCCCTTCTCCGAGATTCCATCCCCTTCTCCCAGATTCTATCCCTTCTCCCCGATTCCATCACCTTGTCCCTGATTCCATCCCCTTCTCCCAGATTCCATCCCCTTCTCCCAGATTCCATCCCCTTCTCCCAGATTCCATCCCCTTCTCCTAGATTCCATCCCCTTCTCCCTGATTCCATCCCCTTCTCCCAGATTCCATCCCCTTCTCCCAGATTCCATCCCCTTCTCCCAGATTCCATCCCCTTCTCCTAGATTCCATCCCCTTCTCCCAAATTCCATTCCCTTCTCCCAGATTCCATCTCCTTCTCCCAAATCAATCCCATTCTCCCAAATTCCATCCCCTTCTCTTTGATTCCATCCCCTTCTCCCCGATTCCATCCCCTTTTCTCTGACTGCATCCCCTTCTCCCAGATTCCTTCCCCTTCTCCTAGATTCCATCCCCTTCTCCCAGATTCCATCCCCTTCTCCCTGATTCCATCCCTTTCTCCCAGATTCCATCCCCTTCTCCCAGATTCCATCCCCTTCTCCCAGATTCCATCCCCTTCTCCCAGATTCCATCCCCTTCTCCCAGATTCCATCCCCTTCTCCCAAATTCCATCCCCTTCTCCCAGATTCCATCCCCTTCTCCCAGATTCCATCCCCTTCTCCCTGATTCCATCCCCTTCTCCCAGATTCCATCCCCTTCTCCCTGATTCCATCCCCTTCTCCCAGATTCCATCCCCTTCTCCCAGATTCCATCCCGTTCTCCCAGATTCCATCCCCTTCTCCCACATTCCATCCCCTTCTCCCTGATTCCATCCCCTTCTCCCAGATTCCATCCCCTTCTCCCAGATTTCATCCCCTTCTCCCAGATTCCATCCCCTTCTCCTAGATTCCATCCCCTTCTCCCAGATTCCATTCCCTTGTCCCAGATTCCATCTCCTTCTCCCAAATCCATCCCATTCTCCCAAATTCCATCCCCTTCTCTCTGACTGCATCCCCTTCTCCCAGATTCCATCCCCTTCTCCTAAATTCCATCCCCTTCTCCCAGATTCCATCCCCTTCTCCCTGATTCCATCCCTTTCTCCCAGATTCCATCCCCTTCTCCCAGATTCCATCCCCTTCTCCCAGATTCCATCCCCTTCTCCCAGATTCCATCCCCTTCTCCCAGATTCCATCCCCTTCTCCCAAATTCCATCCCCTTCTCCCAGATTCCATCCCCTTCTCCGAGATTCCATTCCCTTCTCCCAGATTCTATCCCTTCTCCCCGATTCCATCACCTTGTCCCTGATTCCATCCCCTTCTCCCAGATTCCATCCCCTTCTCCCAGATTCCATCCCCTTCTCCCAGATTCCATCCCCTTCTCGTGGATTCCATCCCCTTCTCCCTGATTCCATCCCCTTCTCCCAGATTCCATCCCCTTCTCCCAGATTTCATCCCCTTCTCCCAGATTCCATCCCCTTCTCCCAGATTCCATCCCCTTCTCCCGGATTCCATCCCCTTCTCCCTGATTCTATCCCCTTCTCCCAGATTCCATCCCCTTCTCCCAGATTCCATCCCCTTCTCCTAGATTCTATGCCCTTCTCCCAGATTCCACCCCCTTCTCCCAGATTCCACCCCCTTCTCCCAGATTCCATCCCCTTCTCCCTGATTCCATCCCCTTCTCCCGAATTCCATCCCCTTCTCCCAAATTTCATCCCCTTCTCCCTGTTTCCATCCCCTTCTCCCAAATTCCATCCCACTCTCCCAGATTCCATCCCCCTCTCCCCGATTCCATCCCCTTCTACCAGATTCCATTCCCTTCTCCCAGATTCCATCCCCTTCTCCCAGATTCCATCCCCTTCTCCCAGATTCCATCCCCTTCTCCCAGATTCCATCCCCTTCTCCCAGATTCCATCCCCTTATCCCTGATTCCATCCCCTTCTCCCAGATTCCATCCCCTTCTCCCAGATTCCATCCCCTTCTCCCAGATTCCATCCCCTTCTCCCTGATTCCATCCCCTTCTCCCAGATTCCATCCCCTTCTCCAAGATTCCATCCCCTTCTCCCCGATTCCATCCCCTTCTCCCTGATTGCATCCCCTTCTCCCAGATTCCATCCCCTTCTCCTAAATTCCATCTCCTTCTCCCAGGTTCCATCCCCTTCTCCCTGATTCCATCCCTTTCTCCCAGATTCCATCCCCTTCTCCCTGATTCCATCCCCTTCTCCCAGATTCCATCCCCTTCTCTCAAATTCCATCCTCTTCTCCCAGATTCCATCCCCTTCTCCCAGATTCCATCCCCTTCTCCAGATTCCATCCCCTTCTCCCAGATTCCATCCCCTTCTCCCACATTCCATCCCTTCTACCTGATTCCATACCCTTCTCCCTGATTCCATCCCCTTGTCCCAAATTCCATCCCCTTCTCCCATATTCCATCTCCTTCTCCCAGATTCCATCCCCTTCTCCCTGATTCCATCCCCTTCTCCCAGTTTCCATCCTCTTCTCCCGGATTCCATCCCCTTCTCCCAGATTCCATCCCCTCCTCCCAGATTCCATCCCCTTCTCCCAGATTCCATCCCCTTCTCCCAGATTCCATCCCCTTATCCCTGATTCCATCCCCTTCTCCCAGATTCCATCCCCTTCTCCCAGATTCCATCCCCTTCTCCCAGATTCCATCCCCTTCTCCCAGATTCCATCCCCTTCTCCCAGATTCCATCCCCTTCTCCCAGATTCCATCCCCTTCTCCAAGATTCCATCCCCTTCTCCCCGATTCCATCCCCTTCTCCCTGATTGCATCCCCTTCTCCCAGATTCCATCCCCTTCTCCTAAATTCCATCTCCTTCTCCTAGGTTCCATCCCCTTCTCCCTGATTCCATCCCTTTCTCCCAGATTCCATCCCCTTCTCCCTGATTCCATCCCCTTCTCCCAGATTCCATCCCCTTCTCTCAGATTCCATCCTCTTCTCCCAGATTCCATCCCCTTCTCCCAGTTTCCATCCCCTTCTCCAGATTCCATCCCCTTCTCCCAGATTCCATCCCCTTCTCCCACATTCCATCCCTTCTACCTGATTCCATACCCTTCTCCCAGATTCCATCCCCTTGTCCCAAATTCCATCCCCTTCTCCCATATTCCATCCCCTTCTCCCAGATTCCATCCCCTTCTCCCTGATTCCATCCCCTTCTCCCAGATTCCATCCCCTTCTCCCAGATTCCATCCCCTTCTCCCAGATTCCATCCCCTTCTCCCAGATTCCATCCCCTTCTCCCAGATTCCATCCCCTTCTCCTAGATTCTATCCCCTTCTCCAAAATTCCATCCCCTTCTCCCAGATTCCATCCCCTTCTCCGAGATTCCATCCCCTTCTCCCAGATTCTATCCCTTCTCCCCGATTCCATCACCTTGTCCCTGATTCCATCCCCTTCTCCCAGATTCCATCCCCTTCTCCCAGATTCCATCCCCTTCTCCCAGATTCCATCCCCTTCTCCTAGATTCCATCCCCTTCTCCCTGACTCCATCCCCTTCTCCCAGATTCCATCCCCTTCTCCCAGATTCCATCCCCTTCTCCCAGATTCAATCCCCTTCTCCTAGATTCCATCCCCTTCTCCCAGATTCCATTCCCTTCTCCCAGATTCCATCTCCTTCTCCCAAATCAATCCCATTCTCCCAAATTCCATCCCCTTCTCTTTGATTCCATCCCCTTCTCCCCGATTCCATCCCCTTTTCTCTGACTGCATCCCCTTCTCCCAGATTCCTTCCCCTTCTCCTAGATTCCATCCCCTTCTCCCAGATTCCATCCCCTTCTCCCTGATTCCATCCCTTTCTCCCAGATTCCATCCCCTTCTCCCAGATTCCATCCCCTTCTCCCAGATTCCATCCCCTTCTCCCAGATTCCATCCCCTTCTCCCAGATTCCATCCCCTTCTCCCAAATTCCATCCCCTTCTCCCAGATTCCATCCCCTTCTCCCAGATTCCATCCCCTTCTCCCTGATTCCATCCCCTTCTCCCAGATTCCATCCCCTTCTCCCTGATTCCATCCTCTTCTCCCAGATTCCATCCCCTTCTCCCAGATTCCATCCCCTTCTCCCAGATTCCATCCCCTTCTCCCAGATTCCATCCCCTTCTCCCTGATTCCATCCCCTTCTCCCAGATTCCATCCCCTTCTCCCAGATTTCATCCCCTTCTCCCAGATTCAATCCCCTTCTCCTAGATTCCATCCCCTTCTCCCAGATTCCATTCCCTTCTCCCAGATTCCATCTCCTTCTCCCAAATCAATCCCATTCTCCCAAATTCCATCCCCTTCTCTTTGATTCCATCCCCTTCTCCCCGATTCCATCCCCTTTTCTCTGACTGCATCCCCTTCTCCCAGATTCCTTCCCCTTCTCCTAGATTCCATCCCCTTCTCCCAGATTCCATCCCCTTCTCCCTGATTCCATCCCTTTCTCCCAGATTCCATCCCCTTCTCCCAGATTCCATCCCCTTCTCCCAGATTCCATCCCCTTCTCCCAGATTCCATCCCCTTCTCCCAGATTTCATCCCCTTCTCCCAAATTCCATCCCCTTCTCCCAGATTCCATCCCCTTCTCCCAGATTCCATCCCCTTCTCCCTGATTCCATCCCCTTCTCCCAGATTCCATCCCCTTCTCCCTGATTCCATCCTCTTCTCCCAGATTCCATCCCCTTCTCCCAGATTCCATCCCCTTCTCCCAGATTCCATCCCCTTCTCCCAGATTCCATCCCCTTCTCCCTGATTCCATCCCCTTCTCCCAGATTCCATCCCCTTCTCCCAGATTTCATCCCCTTCTCCCTGATTCCATCCCCTTCTCCTAGATTCCATCCCCTTCTCCCAGATTCCATTCCCTTGTCCCAGATTCCATCTCCTTCTCCCAAATCCATCCCATTCTCCCAAATTCCATCCCCTTCTCTCTGACTGCATCCCCTTCTCCCAGATTCCATCCCCTTCTCCTAAATTCCATCCCCTTCTCCCAGATTCCATCCCCTTCTCCCTGATTCCATCCCTTTCTCCCAGATTCCATCCCCTTCTCCCAGATTTCATCCCCTTCTCCCAGATTCCATCCCCTTCTCCCAGATTCCATCCCCTTCTCCCAAATTTCATCCACTTCTCCCAGATTCCATCCCCTTCTCCGAGATTCCATTCCCTTCTCCCAGATTCTATCCCTTCTCCCCGATTCCATCACCTTGTCCCTGATTCCATCCCCTTCTCCCAGATTCCATCCCCTTCTCCCAGATTCCATCCCCTTCTCCCAGATTCCATCCCTTCTCCCGGATTCCATCCCCTTCTCCCTGATTCCATCCCCTTCTCCCAGATTCCATCCCCTTCTCCCAGATTTCATCCCCTTCTCCCAGATTCCATCCCCTTCTCCCAGATTCCATCCCCTTCTCCCAGATTCCATTCCCTTGTCCCAGATTCCATCTCCTTCTCCCAAATCCATCCCATTCTCCCAAATTCCATCCCCTTCTCTTTGATTCCATCCCCTTCTCCCCGATTCCATCCCCTTCTCTCTGACTGCATCCCCTTCTCCCAGATTCCATCCCCTTCTCCTAAATTCCATCCCTTTCTCCCAGATTCCATCCCCTTCTCCCATATTCCATCCCCTTCTCCCAGATTCCATCCACTTCTACCAGATTCCATCCCCTTCTCCCTGATTCCATCCCCTTCTCCCAGATTCCATCCCCTTCTCCCAGATTCCATCCCCTTCTCCCAGATTCCATCCCCTTCTCCCAGATTCCATCCCCTTCTCCCAGATTCCATCCCCTTCTCCCAGATTCCATCACCTTCTCCCAGATTCTATCCCTTCTCCCCGATTCCATCACCTTCTCCCATATTTCATCCCCTTCTCCCAGATTCCATCCTCTTCTCCCAGATTCCATCCCCTTCTCCCAGATTCCATCCCCTTCTCCCAGATTCCATCCCCTTCTCCTTGATTCCATCCCCTTCTCCCAGATTCCATCCCCTTCTCCCATATTCCATCCCCTTCTCCCAGATTCCATCCCCTTCTCCCAGATTCCATCTCCTTCTCCAAAATTCCATCCCATTCTCCCAAATTTCATCCCCTTCTCTTTGATTCCATCCCCTTCTCCCCGATTCCATCCCCTTCTCCCTGATTGCATCCCCTTCTCCCAGATTCCATCCCCTTCTCCTAAATTCCATCCCCTTCTCCCAGATTCCATCCCCTTCTCCCCGATTCCATCCCCTTCTCCCTCATTCCATCCCCTTCTCTCAGATTCCATCCCCTTCTCCCAGATTCCATCCCCTTCTCCTAGATTCCATCCCCTTCTCCCAGATTCCATCCCCTTCACCTAGATTCCATCCCCTTCTCCCAGATTCCATCCCCTTCTCCCTCATTCCATCCCCTTCTCCCAGATTCCATCCCCTTCTCCCAGATTCCATCCCCATCTCCCAGATTCCATCCCCTTCTCCCAGATTCCATCCCCTTCCCCTAGATTCTATCCCCTTCTCCCTAATTCCATCCCCTTCTCCCAGATTCCATCCCCTTCTCCCAGATTCTATCCCCTTCTCCCAGATTCTATCCCCTTCTCCCAGATTCCATCCCCTTCTCCCAGATTCCATCCCCTTCTCCCAGATTCCATCCCCTTCCCCCTGATTCCATCCCCTTCTCCCAGATTCCATCCCCTTCTCCTTGATTCCATCCCCTTCTCCCAGATTCCATCCCCTTCTCCCTGATTCCATCCCCTTCTCCCAGATTCCATCCCCTTCTCCCGGATTCCATCCCCTTCTCCCAGATTCCATCCCCTTCTCCCGGATTCCATCCCCTTCTCCCTGATTCCACCCCCTTCTCCAAGATTCCATCCCCTTCTCCCGGACTCCATCCCCTTCTCTTTGATTCCATCCCCTTCTCCTAGATTCCATCCCCTTCTCCCAGATTCCATCCCCTTCTCCCATATTCCATCCCCTTCACCCAGATACCATCCCCTTCTCCCAGATTCCATCCCCTTCTCCCATATTCCATCTCTTCTCCCAGATTCTATCCCCTTCTCCCAGATTCCATCCCCTTCTCCCAGATTCCACCCCCTTCTCCTTGCTTCCATCCCCTTCTCCCAGATTCCATCCCCTTCTCCTAGATTCCATCCCCTTCTCCCAGATTCCATCCCCTTCTCCCAGATTCCATCCCCTTCTCCCAGATTCCATCCCCTTCTCCCGGATTCCATCCCCTTCTCCCAGATTCCATCCCCTTCTCCCGGATTCCATCCCCTTCTCCCTGATTCGACCCCCTTCTCCCAGATTCCATCCCCTTCTCCCGGACTCCATCCCCTTCTCCCGGACTCCTTCCCCTTCTCCCAGATTCCATCCCCTTCTCCCAAATTCCATCCCTTTCTCCCATATTCCGTCCCCTTCACCCAGATTCCATCCCCTTCTCCCAGATTCCATCCCCTTCTCCCAGATTCCATCCCCTTCTCCCAGATTCCATCCCCTTCTCCCATTCCATCCCCTTCTCCCAGATTCCATCCCCTTTTCCCAAATTCCATCCCCTTCTCCCAGATTCCATCCCCTTCTCCAGATTCCATCCCCTTCTCCCAAATTCTATCCCCTTCTCCCTGATTTCATCCCTTCTCCCTGATTCTATCCCCTTCTCCCTGATCCCATCCCCTTCTCCCAGATTCTATCCCCTTCTCCCAGATTCCATCCCCTTCTCCCAGATTCCACCCCCTTCTCCCAGATTCCATCCCCTTCTCCCAGATTCCATCCCCTTCTCCCAGATTCCATCCCCTTCTCCCAGATTCCATCCCCTTCTCCCCGATTCCATCCCCTTCTCCCTCATTCTATCCCCTTCTCCCAGATTCCATCCCCTTCTCCCAGATTCCATCTCCTTCTCCCAGATTCCATCCCCTTCTCCCATATTCCATCCCCTTCTCCCAGATTCCTTCCCCTTCTCCCAAATTCCATCCTCTTCTCCCAGATTCCATCCCCTTCTCCCAGATTCCATCCCCTTCTCCCAGATTCCATCCCCTTCTCCCAGATTCCATCCCCTTCTCCCAGATTCTATCACCTTCTCCCAGATTCTATCCCTTCTCCCCGATTCCATCACCTTCTCCCATATTTCATCCCCTTCTCCCAGATTCCATCCTCTTCTCCCAGATTCCATCCCCTTCTCCCAGATTCCATCCCCTTCTCCCAGATTCCATCCCCTTCTCCTTGATTCCATCCCCTTCTCCCACATTCCATCCCCTTCTCCCAGATTCCATCCCCTTCTCCCAGATTCCATCCCCTTCTCCCAGATTCCATCTACTTCTCCAAAATTCCATCCCATTCTCCCAAATTTCATCCCCTTCTCTTTGATTCCATCCCCTTCTCCCCGATTCCATCCCCTTCTCCCTGATTGCATCCCCTTCTCTCAGATTCCATCCCCTTCTCCCAGATTCCATCCCCTTCTCCTAGATTCCATCCCCTTCTCCCAGATTCCATCCCCTTCACCCAGATTCCATCCCCTTCTCCCAGATTCCATCCCCTTCTCCCTCATTCCATCCCCTTCTCCCATATTCCATCCCCTTCTCCCAGATTCCATCCCCATCTCCTAGATTCCATCCCCTTCTCCCAGATTCCATCCCCTTCCCCTAGATTCCATCCCCTTCTCCCTAATTCCATCCCCTTCTCCCAGATTCCATCCCCTTCTCCCAGATTCTATCCCCTTCTCCCAGATTCTATCCCCTTCTCCCAGCTTCCATCCCCTTCTCCCAGATTCCATCCCCTTCTCCCAGATTCCATCCCCTTCCCCCCTGATTCCATCCCCTTCTTCCAGATTCCATCCCCTTCTCCTTGATTCCATCCCCTTCTCCCAGATTCCATCCACTTCTCCCTGATTCCATCCCCTTCTCCCAGATTCCATCCCCTTCTCCCGGATTCCATCCCCTTCTCCCAGATTCCATCCCCTTCTCCCGGATTCCATCCCCTTCTCCCTGATTCCACCCCCTTCTCCCAGATTCCATCCCCTTCTCCCGGACTCCATCCCCTTCTCTTTGATTCCATCCCCTTCTCCTAGATTCCATCCCCTTCTCCCAGATTCCATCCCCTTCTCCCATATTCCATCCCCTTCACCCAGATACCATCCCCTTCTCCCAGATTCCATCCCCTTCTTCCAGATTCCATCTCTTCTCCCAGATTCTATCCCCTTCTCCCAGATTCCATCCCCTTCTCCCTGATTCCACCCCCTTCTCCCAGATTCCAACCCCTTCTCCCAGATTCCATCCCCTTCTCCCAGATTCCATCCCCTTCTCCCAGATTCCATCCCCTTCTCCCTGATTCCATCCCCTTATCCCAGATTCCATCCCCTTCTCCCGGATTCCATCCCCTTCTCCCAGATTCCATCCCCTTCTCCCGGATTCCATCCCCTTCTCCCTGATTCCACCCCCTTCTCCCAGATTCCATCCCCTTCTCCCGGACTCCATCCCCTTCTCCCTGATTCCTTCCCCTTCTCCCAGATTCCATCCCCTTCTCCCAAATTCCATCCCCTTCTCCCATATTCCGTCCCCTTCACCCAGATTCCATCCCCTTCTCCCAGATTCCATCCCCTTCTCCCAGATTCCATCCCCTTCCCCCAGATTCCATCCCCTTCTCCCATTCCATCCCCTTCTCCCAGATTCCATCCCCTTTTCCCAAATTCCATCCCCTTCTCCCAGATTCCATCCCCTTCTCCAGATTCAATCCCTTTCTCCCAAATTCTATCCCCTTCTCCCTGATTTCATCCCTTCTCCCTGACTCCATCCCCTTCTCCCTGATCCCATCCCCTTCTCCCAGATTCCATCCCCTTCTCCCAGATTCCATCCCCTTCTCCTAGATTCCATCCCCTTCTCCCAAATTCCATCCGCTTCTCCAAGATGCCATCCCCTTCTCCCTGGTTCCATCCCCTTTTCCCAGATTCCATCCCTTTGTCCCTCATTCCATCCCCTTCTCCCAGATTCCATCCCCTTCTCCCCGATTCCATCCCCTTCTCCCAGATTCCATCCCCTTCTCCCAAATTCCATCCCCTTCTCCAAGATTCCATCCCCTTCTCCCAAATTTCATGCCCTTCTTCCTGATTCCATCCTCTTCTCCCAGATTCCATCCCCTTCTCCCAGATTCCATCCCCTTCTCCCTCATTCCATCCCCTTCTCCAAGATTCCATCCCCTTCTCCGAGATTCCATCCCCTTCTCCCAGATTCCATCCCCTTCTCCTAGATTCCATCCCCTTCTCCCAGATTCCATCCCCTTCTCGCAGATTCCATCCCCTTCTCCCAGGGTCAATCCCCTTCTCCCAGATTCCATTCCCTTCTCCCAGATTCTATCCCCTTCTCCAGATTCCATCCCCTTCTCTCAAATTCCATCCCCTTCTCCTAGATTCCATCTCCTTCTCCGAGATTCCACCCCCTTCTCCAAGATTCCATCCCCTTCTCCCAGATTCCATCCCCTTCTCCCAGATTCCATCCCCTTCTCCCAGATTCCATCCCCTTCTCCCAGATTCCATCCCCTTCTCCTAGAATCCATCCCCTTCTCCCAGATTCCATCCCCTTCTCCAAATTCCATCCCCTTCTCCCAAATTCTATCCCCTTCTCCCAGATTTCATCCCTTCTCCCCGATTCCATCCGCTTCTCCCTGATCCCATCCCCTTCTCCCAGATTCCATCCCCTTCTCCCAGATTCCATCCCCTTCTCCCAGATTCCATCCCCTTCTCCCAGATTCCATCCCCTTCTCCCATTCCATTCCCTTCTCCCAGATTCCATCCCCTTTTCCCAAATTCCATCCCCTTCTTCCAAATTCCATCCCCTTCTCCTAGATTCCATCCCCTTCTCCCAGATTCCATCCCCTTCTCCCAGATTCCATCCCCTTCTCCAGATTCCATCCCCTTCTCCCAAATTCTATCCCATTCTCCCAGATTCCATCCCCCTCCCCCATATTCCATCCCCTTCTCCCAGATTCCATCCCCTTCTCCCAGATTCCATCCCCTTCTCCCAGATTCCATCCCCTTCTCCCATTCCATCCCCTTCTCCCAGATTCCATCCCCTTTTCCCAAATTCCATCCCCTTCTTCTAAATTCCATCCCCTTCTCCCTGATTCCATCCCCTTCTCCCAGATTCCATCCCCTTCTCCCTGATTCCATCCCCTTCTCCAGATTCCATCCCCTTCTCCCAAATTCTATCCTCTTCTCCCAGATTTCATCCCTTCTCCACGATTCCATCCCCTTCTCCCTGATCCAATCCCCTTCTCCCAGATTCCATCCCCTTCTTCCAGATTCCATTCCCTTCTCCCAGATTCCATCCATTTCTCCCATATTCCATCCCCTTCTCCCAGATTCCATCCCCTTCTCCCAGTTTCCATCCCCTTTTCCCAGATTCCATCCCTTTGTCCCTCATTCCATCCCCTTCTCCCAGATTCCATCCCCTTCTCCCCGATTCCATCCGCTTCTCCCAGATTCCATCCCCTTCTCCCAGATTCCATCCCCTTCTCCCTCATTCCATCCCCTTCTCCAAGATTCCATCCCCTTCTCCCAGATTCCATCCCCTTCTCCCAGATTCCATCCCCTTCTCCTAGATTCCATCCCCTTCTCCCAGATTTCACCCCCTTCTCCCAGATATGGAAGGAGGGAGAATGGGGCGGGGTGATGGAAAGAGGGAGAATGGGGCGGGGTGATGGAAAGCGGGAGAATGGGGCGGGGTGATGGAAAGAGGGAGAATGGGGCGGGGAGATGGAAAGCGGGAGAATGGGGCGAGGTGATGGAAAGCGGGAGAACGGGGCGGGGTGATGGAAAGCGGGAGAATGGGGCGGGGTGATGGAAAGCGGGAGAATGGGGCAGGGTGATAGAAAGCGGGAGAATGGGGCGGGGTGATGGAAACGGGAGAATGGGGCGGGGTGATGGAAAGCAGGAGAATGGGCTGTGGTGAAGGAAGGAGGGAGAATGGGGCGGGGCGATGGAAAGCGGGAGAATGGGGCGGGGTGATGGAAAGCGAGAGAATGGGGCGGGGTGATGGAAGGAGAGAGAATGGGGCGGGGTGATGGAAGGAGGGAGGATGGGGCGGGGTGATGGAAGGAGGGAGAATGGGGCGGGGTGATGGAAAGCAGGAGAAGGGGGCAGGGTGATGGAAAGTAGGAGAATGGGGCAGGGTGATTGAAGGAGGGAGAATGGGGCGGGGTGATGGAAGGAGGGAGAATGAGGCGGGGTGATGGAAGGAGGGAGAATGGGGCGGGGTGATTGAACGCGGGAGAATGGGTCAGGGTGATGGAAAGCGGGAGAATGGGGCAGGGTGATGGAAAGCGGGAGAATGGGGCGGGGTGATGGAAGGAGGGAGAATGGGGCGGGGTGATGGAAGGAGGAAGAATGAGGCGGGGTGATGGAAGGAGGGAGAATGGGGCGGGGTGATTGAACGCGGGAGAATAGGGTGGGGTGATGGAAAGCGGGATAATGGGGTGGGGTGATGGAAAGTGGGAGAATGGGGCGGGGTGATGCAAAGCGGGAGAATGGGGCGGGGTGATGGAAAGCGAAACAATGGGGCGGGGTGAAAGAAGGAGGGAGAATGGGGCGGGGTGATGGAAAGCGGGAGAATGGGGCGGGGTGATGGAAAGCGGGAAAATGGGGCGGGGTGATGGAAAGCAGGAGAATTGGGCTGGGTGATGGAAAGCTGGAGAATCGGGCGGAGTGATGGAAAGCGGGAGAATGGGGCGGGGTGATGGAAAGCGGGAGAATGGGGCGGGGTGATGGAAAGCGGGAGAATAGGGCGGGATGATGGAAAGCGGGAGAATGGGGCGGGGTGATGGAAAGCGGGAGAATGGGGTGTGGTGATGGAAAGCAGTAGAATGGGGCGAGGTGATGGAAAGCAAGAGAATGGGGAGGGGTGATGGAAAGCGGGAGAATGGGGCGGGGTGATGGAAAGCAGGAGAATGGGGCGGGGTGATGGAAAGCGGGAGAATGGGGCGGAGTGATGGAAAGCGGGAGAATGGGGCGGGGTGATGGAAAGCGGGAGAATGGGGCGGGGTGATGGAAAGCGGGAGAATGGGGTGGGGTGATGGAAGGAGGGAGAATGAGGCAGAATGGGGCGGGGTGATGGAAGGAGGGAGAATGGGGCGGGGTGATGGAAAGCAGGAGAATGGGGTGGGGTGATGGAAAGCAGGAGAATGGGGCGGGGTGATGGAAAGCGGGAGAATGGGGCGGAGTGATGGAAAGCGGGAGAATGGGGCGGGGTGATGGAAAGCGGGAGAATGGGGCGTGGTGATGGAAAGCGGGAGAATGGGGTGGGGTGATGGAAGGAGGGAGAATGAGGCAAAATGGGGCGGGGTGATGGAAGGAGGGAGAATGGGGCGCGGTGATGGAAAGCAGGAGAATGGGGTGGGGTGATGGAAAGCGGAAGAATGGGGCGGGGTGATGGAAAGCGGGAGAATGGGGCGCGGTGATGGAAAGTAGGAGAATGGGGCGGGGTGATGGTAAACGGGAGAATGGGGCAGGGTGATGGAAAGCGGGTGAATGGGGCGGGGTGATGGAAGGAGGGAGAATGGGGCGCAGTGATGGAAAGCGGGAGAAGGGGGCGGGGTGATGGAAAGAGGGAGAATGGGGCGGGGCAATGGAAAGCGGGAGACTGTGGCGGAGTGAGGGAAAGCGGGAGAATGAGGCGGGGTGATGGAAAGCGGGAGAATGGGGCGGGGTGATGGAAAGCGGGAGAATGGGGCGGGGTTATGAAAGGAGGGAGAAAGGGAGGGTTGATGGAAGGAGGGAGAATGGGGCGGGGTGATGGAAGGAGGGAGAATGGGGCGGGCTGATGGATTTCGGGAAAATGGGGCAGGGTGATGGAAAGCGGGTGAATGGGGAGGGGTGATGGAATGCGGGATAAGGGGGCGGGGTGATGGAAAGCTGGAGAATGGGGCGGGGTGATTGAAAGCGGGAGAATGGGGCGGGGTGATGGAAGGAGTGAGAATGGGGCGAGGTGATGGAAGGAGGGAGAATGGGGTGAGGTGATGGAAGGAAGGAGAATGGGGCGGGGTGATGGAAAGCGGGAAAATGAGGCGGGGTGATGGAAGTAGGGAGAATCGGGCGGGGTGATGGAAGTAGGGAGATTCGGGCGGGTTGATGGAAGGAGGGAGGATGGGGCGAGGTGATGGAAGGAGGGAGAATCGGGCGGGGTGATGGAAAGCGGGAGAAGGGGGCAGGGTGATGGAAAGTAGGAGAATGGGGCGGGGTGATCGAAAGCGGGAGAATGGGGCAGGGTGATGGAAATTGGGAGAATGGGGCGGGGTGATGGAAGGAGGGAGAATGGGGCGGGGTGATGGAAAGCGGGAGAATGGGGCGGGGTGATGGAAAGCGGGAGAATGGGGCGGGGTGATGGAAAGCGGGAGAATGGGGCGGGGTGATGGAAGGAGGGAGAATGGGGCGGGGTGATGGAAGGAGGGGGAATGGGGCGGGGTGATGGAAGGAGGGAGAATGGGGCGGGGTGATTAAACGCGGGAGAATAAGGTGGGGTGATGGAAAGCAGGAGAATGGGGTGGGGTGGTGGAAAGCGAGAGAATAGGGCGGGGTGATGGAAAGCGAGAGAATCGGGCGGGGTGATGGAAAGCGAGAGAATGGGGCGAGGTGATGGAAAGCGAGAGAATGGGGCGGGGTGATGGAAAGCGGGAGAATGGGACAGGGTGATGGAAAGCGGGAGAATGGGGCGGGGTGATGGAAAGCGGGAGAATGGGGCGGGGTGATGGAAAACGGGAAAATGGGGCGGTGTGATGGAAAGCGGGAGAATGGGGCGGGGTGATGGAAAGCGGGAGAACGGGGCGGGGTGATGGAAAGCGGGAGAATGGGGCGGTGTGATGGAAAGCGGGAGAACAGGGTGCGGTGATGGAAAGCAGGAGATAGGGGCGGGGTGATGGAAAGCGGGAGAATGGGGCGGGGCTATGGAAAGCGGGAGACTGGGGCAGGTTGATGGAAAGCGGGAGAATGGGGCGGGGTGATGGAAAGCGTTAGAATGGGGCAGGGTGATTGAAAGCGGGAGAATGGGGCGAGGTGATTGAAAGCGGGAGAATGGGGCGGGGTGATAGAAGGAGTGAGAATGGGGCGGGGTGATGGAAGGAGGGAGAATGGGGCGGGGTTAAGGAGGGAGAATGGGGCGGGGTGATGGAAAGCGGGAGAATGGGGCGGGTTGATGGAAAGCGAGAGAATGGGGCGGGGTGATGGAAAGCGGGAGAATGGGGCGGGGTGATGGAAGGAGGGAGAATGGGGCGGGGTGATGGAAAGCGGGAGAATGGGGCGGGGTGATGGAAAGCGGGAGAATGGGGCGGGGTGATGGAAAGCGGGAGAATGGGGCGGGGTGATGGAAAGCGGGAGAATGGGGCGAGGTGATGGAAGGAGGGAGAATGGGGCGGGGTGATGGAAGGAGGGAGAATGGGGCGGGTTGATGGAGATTGGGAGAATGGGGCGGAGTGATGGAAAGCGGGAGAATGGGGCGGGGTGATGAAAAGCGGGAGAATGGGGCCGGGTGATGGAAAGCGGGAGAATGGGGAAGGGCGATGGAAAGCGGGAGAAAGGGGCGGGGCGATGGAAGGAGGGAGAATGGCATGGGATGATGGAAAGCGGGAGAATGGGGCGGGGTGATGGAAAGCGGGAGAATGGGGCGGGTTGATGGAAAGCGAGAGAATGAGCGGGGTGATGGAAAGCGAGAGAATGGGGCGGGGTGATGGGAAGCGGGATAATGAGGCGGGGTGATGGATAGTGGGAGAATGGGGTGGGGTGATGGAAAACGGGAGAATTGGGCGGGGCGATGGAAATCAGGCGAATGGGGCGGGGTGATGGAAGGAGGAAGAATGGGGTGGGGTGATGGAAAGAGTGAGAATGGGGCGGGCTGATGGAAAGCGGGAGAATGGGGCGGAGTGATGGAAAGCGGGAGAATGGTGCGAGGTGATGGAAAGCGGGAGAATGGGGCGGGGTGATGGAAAGCGGGAGAATGGGGCGGGGTGATGGAAAGCGGGAGAATCGGGCGGGGTTATGGAAGGAGGGAGAAGGGGGGGGGGGGGGTGACGGAAGTAGGGAGAATGGGGCGGGGTGATTGAAAGCGGGAGAATGGGGCGGGGTGATGCAAGGAGTGAGAATGGGGCGGTGTGATGGAAGGAGGGAGAATAGGGCGGGGTGATGGAAAGCGGGAGAGTGGGGCGGGGTGACGGAAAGAAGGAGACTGGGGCAGGGTGAGGGAAAGCCGGAGAATGGGGCGGGGTGATGGAAAGCAGGAGAATGGGCGGGGTTATGGAAGGAGGGAGAATGGGGTGGGGTGATGGAAGGACGGAGAATGGGGAGGGGTGATGGAAAGCGGGAGAAGGGGGCGGGGTGATGGAAAGCGGGAGAATAGGGGGGGGCTATGGAAAGCGGGAGACTGGTTGCGGGGTGAGGGAAAGTGGGAGAATGGGGCGGGGTGATGGAAAGCGGGAGAATGGGGCGGGGTGAGGAAAAGCGGGAGAATGGGGCGGGGTGATCGAAAGCGTGAGAATGGGGCGGGGTGATGGAAAGTGGGAGAATGGGGCGGGGTTATGGAAGGAGGGAGAATGAGGCGGGGTGATGGAAGGAGGGAGAATGGGGCGGGGTGATGGAAAGTGGGAGAATGGGTCGGGGTGATGGAAAGCGGGAGAATGGGGCGGAGTGATGGAAAGCGGGAGAATGGGGCGCGGTGATGGAAAGCGGGAGAATGGGGCGGGGGGGATGGAAAGCGGGAGAATGGGGTGGGGTGATGGAAAGCGGGAGAATGGGGCGGGGTGATGGAAAGCGGGAGAATGGGGCGGGTGATAGAAAGCGGGTGAATGGGGCAGGGTGATGGAAAGCGGGAGAATGGGGCGGGGTGATGGAAAGCAGAAGATTCAGGCGGTGTGATGGAAAGCGGGAGAATGGGGCGGGGTGATGGAAGGAGGGAGAATGGGGAGGGGTGATGGAAAGCGGGGAAAAGGGGCGGGATGATGGGAAGCGGAAGAATGGGGCGGGGTGATGGAAAGCGAGAGAATGGAGCGGGGTGATGGAAAGCGGGAGAATGGGGCGGGGAGATGGAAAGCGGGAGAAAGGGGCGGGGTGATGGAAAGCAGGAGAATGGGGCGGGCTGATGGAAAGCAGGAGAATGGGGCGGGGTGATGGAAGGAGGGAGAATGGGGCGGGGTGATGGAAGGAGAGAGAAGGGGGCGGGGTGATGGAAACCGGGAGAATGGAGTGGGGTTATGGGAAGCGGGAGAATGGGGCGGGGTGATGGAAAGCGGGAGAATGGGGCGGGGTGATGGTAGGAGGGAGAATGGGGCGGGGTGATGGAAGGAGGGAGAATGGGGCGGAGTGATGGAAAGCGGGAGAATGGGGCGGGGTGATGGAAGGAGGGAGAATGGGGCGGGATGATGGAAAGCGGTAGAATGGGGCGGGGTGATGGAAAGCGGGAGAATGGGGCGGGGTGATGGAAGGAGGGAGAATTAGGCGGGGTGATAGAAAGCGGGAGAATGTGGCGGGGTGATGGAAAGCGGGAGAAGGGGGTGGGGTTATGGGAAGCGGGAGAATGGGGCGGGCTGATGGAAAGCGGGAGAATGGGGCGGGGTGATGGAAGGAGGGAGAATGGGGCGGGGTGATGGAAGGAGGGAGAATGGGACGGGGTGATGGAAAGCAGGAGAATGGGGCGGGGTGATGGAAAGCAGGAGAATGGGGTGGGGTGATGGAAGGAGGGAGAATGGGGCGGGGTGATGGAAGGAGGGAGAATGGGCGGAGTGATGGAAAGCGGGAGAATGGGGCGGGATGATGGAAGGAGGGAGAATGGGGCGGGATGATGGAAAGCGGGAGAATGGGGCGGGGTGATGGAATGAGGGAGAATGGGGCGGGGTGATGGAAGGAGGGAGAATGGGGCGGGGTGATGGAAAGCGGGAGAATGGGGCGGGGTGATGGAATGAGGGAGAATGGGGCGGGGTGATGGAAGGAGGGAGAATAGGGCGGGGTGATGGAAAGCGGGAGAATGGGGCGGGGTGATGGAAGGAGGAAGAATGGGCTGGGGTGATGGAAAGCGGGAGAATGGGGCGGGGTGATCGAAAGCGGGAGAATGGGGCGGGGTGATGGAAAGCGAGAGAATGGGGCAGGGTGATGGAAGGAGGGAGAATGGGGAGGGGTGATGGAAAGCGGGGGAATGGGGCGGGATGATGGGAAGCAGAAGAATGGGGCGGGGTGATGGAAAGCGTGAGAATGGGGCGGGGTGATGGAAAGCGGGAGAATGGGGCGGGGAGATGGAAAGTGGGAGAAACGGGAGGGGTGATGGAAAGCAGGAGAATGGGGCGGACTGATGGAAAGCGGGAGAATGGGGCGGGGTGATGGAAGGAGGGAGAATGGGGCGGGGTGATGGAGGGAGAGAGAAGGGGGCGGGGTGATGGAAAGTGGGAGAATGTGGCGGGGTGATGGAAAGCGTGAGAATAGGGTGGGGTTATGGGAAGCGGGAGAATGGGGCGGGGTGATGGAAAGCGGGAGAATGGGGCGGGGTGATGGAAGGAGGGAGAATGGGGCGGGATGATGGAAAGCGGTAGAATGGGGCGGGGTGATGGAAAGCGGGAGAATGGGGCGGGGTGATGGAAAGCGGGAGAATGGGGCGGGGTGATGGAAGGAGGGAGAATGGGGCGGGGTGATGGAAGGAGGGAGAATGGGCGGAGTGATGGAAAGCGGGAGAATGGGGCGGGATGATGGAAGGAGGGAGAATGGGGCGGGATGATGGAAAGCGGGAGAATGGGGCGGGGTGATGGAATGAGGGAGAATGGGGCGGGGTGATGGAAGGAGGGAGAATGGGGCGGGGTGATGGAAAGCGGGAGAATGGGGCGGGGTGATGGAATGAGGGAGAATGGGGCGGGGTGAGGGAAGGAGGGAGAATAGGGCGGGGTGATGGAAAGCGGGAGAATGGGGCGGGGTGATGGAAGGAGGAAGAATGGGCTGGGGTGATGGAAAGCGGGAGAATGGGGCGGGGTGATCGAAAGCGGGAGAATGGGGCGGGGTGATGGAAAGCGAGAGAATGGGGCAGGGTGATGGAAGGAGGGAGAATGGGGAGGGGTGATGGAAAGCGGGGGAATAGGGCGGGATGATGGGAAGCAGAAGAATGGGGCGGGGTGATGGAAAGCGTGAGAATGGGGCGGGGTGATGGAAAGCGGGAGAATGGGGCGGGGAGATGGAAAGTGGGAGAAACGGGAGGGGTGATGGAAAGCAGGAGAATGGGGCGGACTGATGGAAAGCGGGAGAATGGGGCGGGGTGATGGAAGGAGGGAGAATGGGGCGGGGTGATGGAGGGAGAGAGAAGGGGGCGGGGTGATGGAAAGTGGGAGAATGTGGCGGGGTGATGGAAAGCGGGAGAATAGGGTGGGGTTATGGGAAGCGGGAGAATGGGGCGGGGTGATGGAAAGCGGGAGAATGGGGCGGGGTGATGGAAGGAGGGAGAATGGGGCGGGATGATGGAAAGCGGTAGAATGGGGCGGGGTGATGGAAAGCGGGAGAATGGGGCGGGGTGATGGAAGGAGGGAGAATGGGGCGGGGTGATAGAAAGCGGGAGAATGTGGCGGGGTGATCGAAAGCGGGAGAAGGGGGTGGGGTTATGGGAAGCGGGAGAATGGGGCGGGCTGATGAAAAGCTGGAGAATGGGGCGGGGTGATGGAAGGAGGGAGAATGGGGCGGGGTGATGGAAGGAGGGAGAATGGGACGGGGTGATGGAAAGCAGGAGAATGGGGCGGGGAGATGGAAGGAGGGAGAATGGGGCGGGGTGATGGAAAGCGGGAGAATGGGGCGGGGTGATGGAAAGCGGGAGAATGGGGCGGGGTGATGGAAAGCGGGAGAATGAGGCTGGGTGATGGAAAGCGGGAGAATGGGGCGGGGTGATAGAAAGCGGGAGAATGGGGCGGGGTGATGGAAGGAGGGAGAATGGGGTGGGGTGATGGAAAGCGGGATATTGGGGCAGGGTGATGGAAAGCGGGAGAATGGGGCGGGGTGATGGAAAGAGGGAAAATGGGGCGGGGTGACAGAAAGCGGGAGAATGGGGCTGGGTGATGGAAAGCGGGAGAATGGGGCGGGGTGATGGAAAGCGGGAGAATGGGGCAGGGAGATGGAAAGCGGGAGAAAGGGGCGGGGTGATGGAAAGCGGGAGAATGGGGCGGGCTGATGGAAAGCGGGAGAATGGGGCGGGTTGATGGAAGGAGGGAGAATGGGGCGGGGTGATGGAAGGAGAGAGAAGGGGGCGGGGTGATGGAAAGTGGGAAAATGTGGCGGGGTGATGGAAAGCGGGGGAATGGGGTGGGGTTATGGGAATCGGGAGAATGGGGCGGGGTGATGGAAAGCGGGAGAATGGGGCAGGGTGATGGAATGAGGGAGAATGGGGCGGGGTGATGGAAGGAGGGAGAATGGGGCGGGGTGATGGAAAGCGGGAGAATGGGGCGGGGTGATGGAAGGAGGGAGAATGGGGCAGGGTGATGGAAAGCGGGAGAATGGGGCGCGGTGATGGAAAGCGAGAGAATGGAGCGGGGTGATGGAAGGAGGGAGAATGGGGAGGGGTGATGGAAAGCGGGGGAATGGGGCGGGATGATGGGAAGCGGAAGAATGGGGCGGGGTGATGGAAAGCGGGAGAATGGGGCGGGGTGATGGAAAGCGGGAGAATGGGGCGGGGAGATGGAAAGCGGGAGAAAGGGGAGGGGTGACGGAAAGCGGGAGAATGGGGCGGGCTGATGGAAAGCGGAAGAATGGGGCAGGGTGATGGAAGGAGGGGGAATGGGGCGGGGTGATGGAAGGAGAGAGAAGGGGGCGGGCTGATGGAAAGTGGGAGAATGTGGCAGGGTGATGGAAAGCGGGAGAATGGGGCGGGCTGATGGAAAGTGGGAGAATGGCAAAGGGAGCGGGCCTAGCGAGTGCAAAATAGCAATAGGAAGGGCCTAGCGTGTGCAAAAAATCAAGAACAAGGGCCTTGAATTCGTAAAATAGCAGGAACAAGGACCTAGCGTGTGCAAAATATAAAGAACAAGGGTCTAGCATGTGCAAAATTGCAGGAACAAGGGCCTAGCGTGTGCAAAAAAAAAAGAACGAGAGCATAGCGTTTGCAAAATAGCAAGAACAAGGGCCTAGCGTGTGCAAAATAAAAAGAACAAGGGCCTAGCGTGTGCAAAATAAAAAGAACAAGGGCCTAGCGTGTGCAAAATTGCAAGAACAAGGGCCTTGCGAGTGCAAAATAGCAAGAGCAAGGGCCTAGCGTGTGCAAAAAATCAAGAACAAGGGCCAAGCATTCGCAAATTGGCAAGTACAAAAGCCTAGAGTGTGCAAAATAAAAAGAACAAGGGTCTTTTTTTTTTTTTTTTTTTTTAAATTTTTTTTTTTTTTTTCATGTGCAAAATTGCAAGAACAAGGGCCTAGTGTGTGCAAAATAAAAAGAACAAGGGCCTAGCGTGTGCAAAATAGCAAGAACAAGGGCCTAGCGTGTGCAAAATAAAAAGAAAAAGGGCCTAGCGTGTGCAAAATAAAAAGAACAAGGGCCTAGCGTGTGCAAAATTGCAAGAGCAAGGGCCTAGCGTGTGCAAAAAATCAAGAACTAGGGCCTAGCTTTCGCGAAATAGCAAGAACAAGGGCCGAGCGTTTGCAAAATAGCAAGAACAAGCGCCTAGCGTGTGCAAAATAAAAATAATAAGGGCATAGTGTGTGCAAAATAAAAAGAACAAGGGCCTAGCGTGTGCGAAATTGCAAGAACAAGGGCCTAGCGTGTGCAAAATTGCAAGAACAAGGGCCTAGCGAGTGCAAAATAGCAAGAGCAAGGGCCAAGCGTGTGCGAAAAATCAAGAACAAGGGCCTAGCGTTCGCGAAATAGCAAGAACAAGGGCCTAGCATGTGCAAAATAAAAAGAACAAGGGTCTGGCATGTGCATAATTGCAAGAACAAGGGCCTAGCGTGTGCAAAATAAAAAGAACAAGGGCAAAGGCTATGCAAAATAGCAAGAACAAGGGCCTAGCGTGTGCAAAATAAAAAAAACAAGGGCCTAGCGTGTGCAAAATAAAAAGAACAAGGGCCTAGCGTGTGCAAAATTGCAAGAACAAGGGCCTAGCGTATGCAAAATTGCAAGAACAAGGGCGTAGAGAGTGCAAAATAGCAAGAGCAAGTGCCTAGCGTGTGCAAAAAATCAAGAACAAGGGCCTAGCATTCGCGAAATAGCAAGAGCAAGGGCCTAGCGTGTGCAAAACGAAAAGAACAAAGGTCTAGCATGTGCAAAATTGCAAGAACAAGGGCCTAGCGTGTGCAAAATAAAAAGAACAAGGGCATAGCGTGTGCAAAATAGCAAGAACAAGGGCCTAGCGTGTGCAAAATAAAAAGAACAAGGGCATAGCGTGCGCAAAATAAAAAGAACAAGGGCCTAGCGCGTGCAAAATAAAAAGAACAAGGGCCTAGCGTGTGCAAAATTGCAAGAACAAGGGCCTAGCGTGTGCAAAATTGCAAGAACAAGGGCCTAGCGAGTGCAAAATAGCAAGAACAAGGGCCTAGCGTGTGCAAAAAAATCAAGAACAAGGGCCAAGCCTTCGCGAAATAGCAAGAACAAGGGCCTAGCGTGTGCTAAATAAAAAGAACAAAGGTCTAGCATGTGCAAAATTGCAAGAACAAGGACCTACAAGTGCAAAATAAAAGGAACAAGGGCATAGCGTGTGCAAAATAGCAAGAACAAGGGCCTAGCGTGTGCAAAATAAAAAGAACAAGGGCCTAGCGTGTGCAAAATAAAACGAACAAGAGCCTAGCGTGTGCAAAATAAAAAGAACAAGGGCCTAGCGTGTGCAAAATTGCAAGAACAAGGGCCTAGCGTGTGCAACATTGCAAAAAGAAGGGCCTAGCGAGTACAAAATAACAAGAGCAAGGGCCTAGCGTGTGCGAAAAATCAAGAACAAGGGCCTAGCGTTTGCGAAATAGCAAGAACAAGGGCCTAGGATGTGCAAAATAAAAAGAACAAGGGTCTAGCATGTGCAAAATTGCAAGAACAAGGGCCTAGCGTGTGCAAAATAAAAAGAACAAGGGCATAGCGTGTGCAAAATAGCAAGAACAAGGGCCTAGCGTGTGCAAAATAAAAAGAACAAGGGCCTAGCGTGTGCAAAATAAAAATAACAAGGGCCTAGCGTGTGCAAAATTGCAAGAACAAGGGCCTAGCGTATGCAAAATTGCAAGAACAAGGGCCTAGGGAGTGCAAAATAGCAAGAGCAAGGGCCTAGCGTGTGCAAAAAATCAAGAACAAAGGCCTAACGTTCGCAAAATAGCAAGAGCAAGGGCCTAGCGTGTGCAAAATAAAAAGAACAAGGGTCTAGCATGTGCAAAATTGCAAGAACAAGGGCCTAGCGTGTGCAAAATAAAAAGAACAAGGGCATAGCGTGTGCAAAATAGCAAGAACAAGGGCCTAGCGTGTGCAAAATAAAAAGAACAAGGGCATAGCGTGTGCAAAATAAAAAGAACAAGGGCCTAGCGTGTGCAAAATTGCAAGAACAAGGGCCTAGCGTGTGCAAAATTGCAAGAACAAGGGCCTAGCGAGTGCAAAATAGCAAGAGGAAGGGCCTAGCGTGTGCAAAAAATCAAGAACAAGGGCCTAGCGTTCGCGAAATAGCAAGAACAAGGGCCTAGCGTGTGCAAAATATAACGAACAAGGGTCTAGCATGTGCAAAATTGCAGGAACAAGGGCCTAGCGTGTGCAAAAAAAAAAGAACGAGGGCATAGCGTTTGCAAAATAGCAAGAACAAGGGCCTAGCGTGTGCAAAATAAAAAGAACAAGGGCATAGCGTGTGCAAAATAGCAAGAACAAGGGCCTAGCGTGTGCAAAATAAAAAGAACAAGGGCCTAGCGTGTGCAAAATTGCAAGAACAAGGGCCTAGCGTGTGCAAAATTGCAAGAACAAGGGCCTAGCGAGTGCAAAATACCAAGAGGAAGGGCCTAGCATGTGCAAAAAATCAAGAACAAGGGCCTAGCGTTCGTGAAATAGCAAGAACAAAGGCCTAGCGTGTGCAAAATATAACGAACAAGGGTCTAGCATGTTCAAAATTGCAAGAACAAGGGCCTAGCGTGTGCAAAAAAAGAAGAACGAGGGCATAGCGTTTGCAAAATAGCAAGAACAAGGGCCTAGCGTGTGCAAAACAAAACGAACAAGGGCCTAGTGTGTGCAAAAAAAAAAGAACAAGGGCATAGCGTGTGCAAAATAGCAAGAACAAGGGCCTAGCATGTGCAAAATAAAAAGAACAAGGGCCTAGCGTGTGCAAAATAAAAAGAACAAGGGCCTAGCGTGTGCAAAATTGCAAGAACAAGGGCCTAGCGTATACAAAATTGCAAGAACAAGGGCCTAGCGAGTGCAAAACAGCAAGAGCAAGGGCCTAGCGTGTGCAAAAAATCAAGTACAAGGGCCTAGCGTTCATGAAATAGCAAGAACAAGGGCCTAGCGTGTGCAAAATATAACGAACAAGGGTCTAGCATGTGCAAAATTTCAAGAACAAGGGCCTAGCGTGTGAAAAAAAAAAAAAAACGAGGGCATAGCGTTCGCAAAATAGCAAGAACAAGGGCCTAGCGTGTGCAAAATAAAAAGAATAAGGGCCTAGCATGTGCAGAATAAAAAGAACAAGGGCCTAGCGTTGCAAAATTGCAAGAACAAGAGCCTAGCGTGTGCAAAATAAAAAGAACAAGGGCATAGCGTGTGCAAAATAGCAAGAACAAGGGCCTAGCGTGTGCAAAATAAAAAGAACAAGGGCCTAGCGTGTGCAAAATAAAAAGAACAAGGGTCTAGCATGTGCAAAATTGCAAGAACAAGGGCCTAGCGTGTGCAAAATTGCAAGAACAAGGGCCTAGCGAGTGCAAAATACCAAGAGGAAGGGCCTACCATGTGCAAAAAATCAAGAACAAGGGCCTAGCGTTCGTGAAATAGCAAGAACAAAGGCCTAGCGTGTGCAAAATATAACGAACAAGGGTCTAGCATGTTCAAAATTGCAAGAACAACATCCTAGCGTGTGCAAAAAAAGAAGAACGAGGGCATAGCGTTTGCAAAATAGCAAGAACAAGGGCCTAGCGCGTGCAAAACAAAAAGAACAAGGGCCTAGTGTGTGCAAAAAAAAAAGAACAAGGGCATAGGGTGTGCAAAATAGCAAGAACAAGGGCCTAGCATGTGCAAAATAAAAAGAACAAGGGCCTAGCGTGTGCAAAATAAAAAGAACAAGGGCCTAGCGTGTGCAAAATTGCAAGAACAAGGGCCTAGCGTATACAAAATTGCAAGAATAAGGGCCTAGCGAGTGCAAAATAGCAAGAGCAAGGGCCTAGCGTGTGCAAAGAATCAAGGACAAGGGCCTAGCGTTCGCGAAATAGCAAAGAACAAGGGCCTAGCGTGTGCAAAATATAACGAACAAGGGTCTAGCATGTGCAAAATTTCAAGAACAAGGGCCTAGCGTGTGAAAAAAAAAAAAGAACGAGGGCATAGCGTTTGCAAAATAGCAAGAACAAGGGCCTAGCGTGTGCAAAATAAAAAGAATAAGGGCCTAGCATGTGCAGAATAAAAAGAACAAGGGCCTAGCGTTGCAAAATTGCAAGAACAAGAGCCTAGCGTGTGCAAAATAAAAAGAACAAGGGCCTAGCGTTTGCAAAATAGCAAGAACAAGGGCCTAGCGTGTGCAAAATAAAAAGAACAAGGGCCTAGCGTGTGCAAAATAAAAAGAACAAGGGCCTAGCGAGTGCAAAATAGCAAGAGCAAGGGCCTAGCGTGTGCAAAATAAAAAGAACAAGGGTCTAGCATGTGCAGAATTGCAAGAACAAGGGCCTAGCATGTGCAAAATAAAAAGAACGAGGGCATAGCGTGTGCAAAATAGCAAGAACAAGGGCCTAGCGTGTGAAAAATAAAAAGAACAAGGGCCTAGCGTGTGCAAAATTGCAAGAACAAGGGCCTAGCGTGTGCAAAATATAACGAACAAGGGTCTAGTATGTGCAAAATTTCAAGAACAAGGGCCTAGCGTGTGCAAACAAAAAAGAACGAGGGCATAGCGTTT